GTTTGAGCACTGGGCGGGTTCTAGGATTTTCTCGAGGGTGGGGCGGTTTTTCAAATAAAGTTCGATATTTTAATGATCTTGTTTTTTGGTCGGCTAAATTGATTTTTAGAGCTCTCAAAAATCAACAATAAGACCCTATTTTGGTAAAATTTTCTGTGCAGGATGGAGGATTCTTTGTATGTTGAAGATGTCGAATCCCAGAGCTGGATTTCCCCAAATCCGCTTCTGAGCTGGAGGATAGCATACCTGAGAGAGACCCAAGTAAACGGATACTGTTTCTGAGACATACAGAATTCTGCCATCTTTGTAAAGAGCCATGACAAACCCATCCATAGCCTGAATCAAAAATAGTGTTAGTTAATGTTGTGTTAATTGTTAAAATTGTCTTGATATAGACGAAAGAGTTAAAATATTTGTTACCTGGAGCATGTGCATGCCTATTGAATCGGAGAAATCGAGGCATGAGTTGGTAGTTGGGTTGGAGTCTTTAAAAAGAAACATCTGAATCGTCTGTAAAAAGCTACCTTAGCTGTGATTTTGTAGTCGCAATAAGGAGAAACATGTTTGAATTAACTTTCATCATATTATTATCAGTTTTTTAAATACGAAATTTTGAAATCTGGATTTGAAAAGGAACTAATGACTGACCTTTTACATGTGGCAAGACAGAGACTGAGTTTGACCACGGAGGTGAACAAAGGGCGGACAAGTGTCTCATTCTGAGAAATGCGATTGTCAGCCTGACAATAGACGCCTTGTCCAACTGGCTTGTAATTGCTATGGAGACTGGCAGAGTCTTGGCTAATTCAAAGAATTCGGTATTTTCTTTACCTGAAAGAAGTTGTTTGTTTTTGAGCTCAAGTAGAACTATGCTGAAGTAACTAATGGCAAAGCCTAATAATTAAACGCTGTTAGTTCAAGGCTCAGACATCCGTCCTTGTTAAGATAAGTCCAACTGTCCATAAAACAACAAAATACCGTGTAGCGACGATTCAACGTCACAAGAGTGGCTATCTGCAAAGATTTTGTTAGCTAGTAGGCTGCTGATGTACAGCGTGGGTAAATGGACTTAAATTTTTAGTGAATAAATACCTCGTCTGTTCCGAGCAGCGTCTCGACTCCTCTCTTTGCGAACCGGCATCGCACCTCCAATCCATCCAGTCAGGGATCCACACCCACCTGGAAGGTCAGAGGGTGAGGTGAGTTGGTGACAGAGAGGGTCCCCGTAGAACATTGCAGGAGGATGAGGGGTCAAGGGGATGCTAGAGGCGTAGAGTGACTGAGGAGGTAGAGAACAAGTGAAGTGGGAAGGAGAACTCATAGCCGAGCTGGTTGGATTGGCAAAGTAGCAGCTTGAGAAAGATCAGCAGGATGTGATTTGGATAACTTAGATTAGTTTTTTCGAGCGGTTTTGGAGGCATTTAAACTTTCGTACTGCAATATCTTTTAAAAGTCAGCGCAAAATTGTATTTAATGGATGTTGAGAATCCATGAGGTGTATGTTAACAATCTTTTATCAGTCTTTTTTTGTACCATGGTGCAGTAAAAAATGGCCAAGTTTCCGTTTAATCAGCGTTACTCACTTGCGAATGGAATCGTATGAAAAGGGATCAGGGCTCAACGCCGAAGCAGCCACGGTGCCTCTCAATCCGTGCAGTCCGGTCGAAGAGTACATGTTTGAGCAGTCAATAAAGTAATATAGTTATCTCGTATCAGTGTTTTTAGGTTCAACACTGATTGGTGTTTTTTATTGTAATATCAATGAATGAAGGAATTTTGAAGATTTAAGAAGAAAAGTTTTGGAAATGAGGAGCAGGAATATGTTAAGGGGTCTATATTTACTGGTAGAAATTGAAGATTAGAATAGAGGAGTGTAGTAATTACAATGACAAGAGTGACAGAGGTGGCTGGACAAATAACTGGGCCAGCTTTTTATCTTCTCTCATTTGCATTCCAACAACAGACTCCATATTGTAGCCACCGACGTCCTTTCTTTATCCGCCTCCATTCCTCTATCTCTCTCTACCCATTTCTGTTCTGTTTTATTCCTACCGCTACCGGTGATGTTTCCTCACTCTTGTTTTTTGCTGTCAATGAGAACTATTCTGATTGGATGGTTGTTTTTCATCAGCTTCTCTTGACACATGATTTATGATTTTTCCATATGAAATATTAGATTGCAGTTTTCAGAAATCACAAAATTTCAAATCTTACTTTGTGAAACTCATTCACTTAATCAGTGGAACTATTTAATAATTTATCCACTAGTAAGTTACTTAATGCTCTTTTTTGAAGCGAATCATAAAGCACAACTGAATAGTTGATGCACGTTGTAAGTCGAAATTCAGACACTGAAACACCGACTGAGAGGTCTAATGGTGATCTACCAAGTTTATTTTGAAAAATTGATTATAAGTTGTTTATATTGATAGTTTAATAGCTTGGAAACAGTTATTATATTATCAAATCTAACTCATTTCTTTGATTCAAATCAATTTTCTCTGGCCGAGCGAAATACACATAGGTGATAATTAGGATTATAATTGATAAAACTGAGACCGGAATGAAGTGATAAAAACGAAATTGACACTTTGAATTTTCTAAGTTAATATTTTGTTTCAGATTTTATTTGACGCGAAATTTGTTTTTGATTTGTTTGAGCGCTGGATAAAATCGCGGTTTGTATGGGGCTTGTAATGGCCACAAAGCATCTCAGCCAAGATCCAGCAACTGTAGAGAACAACGAAAATGACTGTCCGAATGAACTAGATCCCAAAAGTCCCACAGAAGATGTTGTCAACTGTAGCGAGAAGAAATCTTCGGTTTTGATGAAAACTGATGAAGAAAAATCTAGTTCGTTAGGTGCGGAAGAAAAGTCAAAATGTCGCAACAGCGAGTTAGACAATGATTCAGATACAGCTAGTGAAGTTTTAGAGCGACGTAGATCTGGTAGAGCCCCTCAGAAGCGGAAAGAACGGGATTTCATCATAGTCCAAGCAAATAGGAAACCCAAAAGCAAATCAACTAAAAGTACCAATAATCATAAAATTGAAGAAGATAACGTCTTGTTAGACACTTTGGAGGAGGACGTCCAGAAGTCAGAAAGATCACAGATCAGTCAAATCTTGTCGGAAATCACAGAGCAAAAAGCACAAGACAACTGCTACGCGTGGGCCGAGGAGCACAACAAAGCTAAAGTCCCCCAACTAAAGTTGATGAAATTCCCAGATGAAAAAATCGAAAAGGTGATAGCTGAGGTGGGTTGTGTACCCGAAGCTAGCAAACAGGACAAAGAAAATGAAGTCAACGCCAGCGGGGTGAGTGGGGGAGGGGTCTCTTCGAGTACCGAAAATTGTGTCGAGGAGGGTTCGGACGAGGTTGTAGAAACAGAGGAACAACGAATGATACGACTCGCAATTGAAGACTGGTATGACGTGGTTTCCAAGAAGTCACATGAAGAAATGGACGATGAAGTTGCAAGGATCCTAGCTAGAGACTACGACATGCAGCTGCGTCCAAACATGAAGAAAGCGAAGCTGACTAGTAATGCAGAGGAGAGGTTCAGAGAACACGTTTTTGAGAAAGCAAAACTTCGAAAGCGAAGACACTCGGAGGACGATGAAGATGATAATGATCTCTATATTCCGAGTCAACCAAAGTTGTACAAGAAGGCGTTTGTTGTGGAGGCTATCAGACAAATGGAAATAGACAGGTACGTTTGTTTATATGTCTAATCACGGATTAGTTTGTTGGTATCTATTGGAAACTAGAATTTGATTTAATTGGACTGCAGTTGATTGCTGGGATAGTTATTGGAAAGATCATGGAATATTGAAAATGCAGATGCAACGTTTTTACAATAAGTCAGGATAATATGCCGCAATGAATATGACATGCTTTTGATTGATTTGTTGTTGGATGCCCCAATGGTTTTTGATATTCAAGGATTATAGATGTTTATCTGGATTGTTGGGCTTGTTTCAGATGGGGCGAAGATTACTACTTGGTGAAGTGGGAAGACTGGCCTGAAGAACGGAACACTTGGGAACCAGCTCTGCATCTGGACAATTGTGACATGGTCATTGCCCAATTCAGGCGAAAGCTAAAACAACTACCGGAGTATCAGACTGCGAGAAAGTTACAAATAAAAGCGCTTAAGGCGTTCTCAGACAAACTCTTTGATCCCAGGTGTCCGAAGGTTCCGAGGATTGAAGTGATCAATGATGTCGATTTGACCACACCCAATGACAATTTCGATTACAGGGGCGTACTGAATTGGCCTAAAAACAGAGTGCCCATCTCTATATGCTGTGACTGTGAGGAGTGTGGAGACGGTTGTCCGTGTGCGACCATTGATGGTCACAAGTTCGCGTACAAGCCTGACGGATCACTAAAAGTGCTAACTGGAAACCCGATCTACGAGTGTAGTTCAGGCTGTAAGTGTTCAATTGAAACATGCAGAAATAAAGTGGTACAAAGAGGACGCAGTGTTAGATTGCAGCTGTTCAAAACTCCGAATGGCAGAGGTTGGGGTTTGAGAACCCTGGATCCGATCAAACGAAACACTTTCGTCGTGGAATACGTGGGAGAAGTTTTGCCGTTCAGTGAAGCCGAATTGAGAGGTATGGTTTACGATGCGCGTGGGAGAACCTATTTGTTCGACATGGATTTCTTTCAGAAGCCGGGCGAGTACACAATTGATGCAATGAAGTCTGGCAATGAGGCCAGATATTTCAATCACGCTTGCAATCCGAATCTGTTTTCAATGTGTGTCTGGTACAATTCGATTGATCCTTTCTACCACCATGTGGCATTTTTCGCCAAGTCAGACATAGCGGCAGGCAAAGAGTTGAGTATCAATTACAAGAATGCGGGGCTCACCTACAATCAACATCTGGATGATAAAGAGAGCAAAGCGAATAGCATTGAAGCTAGTGAAACGGGCACAGATGTTACAAGCTCAGATGGTGCAAACAATAATGCTCAAGCCGCTGCTGAAAGTTCAGAGGCGAAGGAAAAAGTGCCTTGCAGATGCCACAAAAACTGCACGGATTACTTGTTTGTTGACTGATTTTATTTTGAAACTCGCTCGAGATAAGCTTAGTTTTGATCAAGTTTGATAAAGTCAAGTCATATAGTGGTAGTTCTATGTGATAGAGTGCTTCAGACGGTTGGGATTGCTTCTCCATTATTGCTCTTTTGCGATTCGTTGTGATTAATATTAGTTGTTTTAATACCTTTAAAGTACTTTTATCTGCAGTGTCTTAATTTATTGAAAAGTGCCTCCATGCTGTTTCGATTGTAAAATTTCAATTAATTTGTTTGGTATGTAAAAGCTTGATTGTTGGATGCGTTTTCATTAAAGACAGATAAATAAAACAGCCTATTTTTGAAATGAAAGCGCGTTCCCATAAAATCGCGGTAAAAAAGGTGCAAAATTTTAAGGTACGAAAAAGGCTTCAAAAAGAGCCGCAAAATTATCTGACTATAATCCGTAGGCTATTCAGAAAAGCAGATGCGTTTGACCACTAAATAAGAGGAAATAGTTTGAGGTACTCCCCCGGAAATCAAAATGAAAATAAAAGTGTATTGCAGATGTCACAAATAAATATTTTTGTTGACAGAATCCATTTGGAAATTCACTCGAGACTAGAAGAAATTTTATCAAGCTTAGGAAACTCAAGTCATACATTAGTAGTTTTGCGTGACAGCAATTATTTAAATAACTGAAAATCTATGGAATCTCAAAGTTTCTGCCGACTGGAGATCTGGGTAGACTGATTCAAATTGCTTGTTAATTCGTTACGTACTTCGATGTCTCAAAAATTGATCTGAGTACTCGTATGTTGACTGACCTTATTTTGAAACACGCTCGAGATAAGCTTAGTTTTGGTCAATTTTGAAGAAGTCAAATGTTCTAGTGGTTTGAAAGTTTTTAAGGTACAGAAAAAGAGGCAAAAGTTATCTTGGCCCTAATCCATAAACTATTCAGAAAAGCAGGTTTTTGAAAGCTACATAAGACAGCAGATTGTTAAGCTTCAAAAATACTGAAAAAGTCTTGGAAGTGTTAGCCAAAACCATTGTGTGAGGCCTCCCCTCGGAAATTTAAAGAAAAGAAAAGTGCTCGAAAGATTGTCCTTTCTATATTTTTTTCACGGATTGTTTTGAAATTCGCTTAAGACCAGAAAAAGTTTTTCTATAAACCAAGTCCCAGGTTCTTGTTCTGCATAAAAATATTTACTTTTTTACCTTTGAGATAAGCAAGGTTGTAACCGGGTACAAAAATTTTATCGCGGAAATAACTTTGTTCACAGAAAGAACAAATTGGTAATCAGTATGTTTTACAACCGCCTAATTGATACATGGCTAGTGTATTGGATGCATATATGACTGCACGCTAAGAGCTGTAAAGTAATTCTTATCAGTGCCGATATTTTTTGGCAGGTTTTCGGCGCTGAGGTCGATTGAGTTTAGTTTTGTCTTATTTTCCAAATTTTTTTTCTATTTAATTTTGTTGATTTCGTATGAGAACGGTTGAGCTCTAACAAGATAAATTGAGAGCACCATCTTCAGCCCTCCGTGTCCGATTTAGAAAAATTAAACATGAAAAATTGTCATTTTTTTGATATGTTTTTAATATTTTTTGGTGTTTTAGTCAGCCGAAACTTTTGGTTGTACGATCCGCTGTTTTCATAATGCTTGCAATCAGCAAGCATTAACGAATCGAAATTTTCTTTTTTTTTCGGGTCAGCAAGTTGCCTTAAATGAACAAAATGGCTGAATTATTTGCTCTGCTTACTTAAATAGTATATTAAATTTGAGGTCAGATTTTAACCGTTTAAGCTTGGATTTGCACGTCTTTGTTTGAGACGACGAAGGTTATAGGTTCCATACTGGCCAGATCAAATTTGATTATCGGTTTTTTGTGCGTCTGCTTATTCTTTGTTAGCATCTTTCCAATTCTTGGTATTTTCTTCTGGTTGGAGAGGCTGATTCGTTGCGTTAAATTAAATCACAAACTTAGCAACTTAATTGTATCAGTGATCAAAACGATAATGGTTTAGAGGTCAACCGACGTTGGCAGACACTCCGAAGGCTGGTGCCTGTCAACGATGGCTAGCACCGAAGGAGAACACAATGATTGACAGCCATGATAGACAGATGACCTAGAATGAGTTTAAATGACCAATTATAACGACTATGACAATCCCTCTTGCGAAATGAAACTTGAATGGTTAATATGATATGAAAATTGTAGAATGAAAACTTAAGTACTCAAATGAAATGTTTAGGCAACTAAAGTATTCAGCAATGGCAATGGATTTTAACTGAATGGATTTTTTCCCTGGCCCGTGATAATGTTAACTAGTTTTATTATACTCAGTTTCATTGTTCTTCCTTTTTTAAAGTCTTTTTCCCTCGCCGCTTTTCGAAATATAGTCGATCATGACCGCGCCCATTTTGTGCACCGCCGCCCGTAAGAGGCTGCTGGTAGAGTCCTGACTGGAATAAGATACGAGCTGTTGTTTCAGCCTCTTAAGTTCGGCCGGTGCTGGTTCGCATTGCACCTGTGGTTTGCTTTACTCGTCAAGTATTTCGTTCGTTCTCTTACGCTCTTTGCCCGACTAGGTTCGGGTGTCGCCAGTTTCTATATTTTAGCCGATTTGCGCTCGCTTTGTGTTCCCATCCGTCATCGCTCACCCCGACTCGCTCCTTGTTGGATTTGGATCCGATTTTCTACTCGCTTCTGCCGTTTCCGTCCCGGTGGAGAAATTATTGTTTTAATTTCCGCCGGCTCCCTCTGCTCCAACGGTTTGGTAGTACTCGATTTTGGGGTTTTCGCTTGTTTGTCCCTCGGGTAGAACAAACCATGGATACTTTTCCCATTTTGAGTTTGGAAGCTAGCAGCCTGTCGTCATCGTCGGATTCCGATTCGTCTTCTTACTCTAGGTGTCTATGGCGACCCCCATTTTTCTAAGCTTTCAGTAAGCGCGCTTTTCGCCACTATTTTTGTATTAAGCAATCTATACCTGTTCAGGTTTCCTTGGTTGTGCGCTGAAAGATTGCTCATGATAGACCTGCCTCTGCCACAGCTAAGTCCGAGGATCGGGCCGTCGGCTCATTTCCTTGGTCGTTGACCTGTGCATCCTTCATATGAAGTGTGTGGTTTCTTTGACGACCCCCATATAACGAGTATGATCGGTCGCCCCAGTTCGTGTCCGCGGGGTGTGGCATTAATTTTGCTGCCGGTCTTTTTCGTCTAAACAGGCAGATTTAGATTTTATCACATTTGACCAGTTTAAGTTGCTAAGTGATGGTTTTTCCGCTAGGTGTCTAAGAACCGTGTTTGCTTCCCGACCGTTGTGTGCCTTGATTGGCGTTATTTTAAGTGTTGCGTTCGTCGAGAATCGTAAGGCGCCAAGGGCCCTTTCAATCATCTTCTCCAAAGGTTCTGGTTTTTCTTCGAGAGCATATGTTAGTATTGAGTTTTTCAGGCTTCCTTTTGTTCGATTAACTCATCCCATGGCACGATGATCATTCACTGGCGACTGCTATTTCTATGCCCTCTCCGCTGCAGAAAATTTTGACCTCCATTGACATGAAATTTGTGCCTTTGTCGACATGAATTTTTCTGTGAACCTCATGATTATTTATATAGCTTTTAAGAATTTAATAAGAATTTGATCTGCGCGGTTTGTATTACAGACAATTGCTGATGGCCATCGTGAAAACCTATTTACCGCTCGAATTAAGTACTTCTTTAGTGCATTAAGGTAATTTATGGGACCCCAAAAGTCTAATTGAATGGCCTCGTTTGGCTTCCTCGGTTCTGGAACTTTTCCTACATCCTCTACAATTTTCAGCCCTTGACGCAATGCATCTTGGACTTCCCGCGGTGGTTAAAGTGAAGCCTGTTGTTAACTGCCTGGTGCAATATACTCGGAATGACCAGCCTGTCATCCATCCAGAGGCAATTGTCACGAACGGGAAACTCGTTTTCAGCTTGAGAGTATTAACTTACTCATAGCGTTAACTTTCGAAGCCAGTTCGGGGTCTGGGTTTTACCATTTCATGAATCGCTTGAATCTGAGGCTTGGAAGCATATTGTGATTCAATTAAAACGAAGGTTCGGGAAATGCTCTGTTCTTAGGGACAATTTTACAGTTTCTAGGAACAATGGACATGATTCGATTCGATGGGTCTATCGTGGGAAAAGATTCTCCTTTAAATGCTGAAGGGATTGAGAGTACTGTGTTAGATTTCTTCGTGTTTTTAATTACTGTGGTAATCGCATCAATTTGGGCTTGATTTATTTCTTTCACCTCCTCGTCGTCGCTACCTTCATTGCTAGGTTGTCTTTCAAGGAATTTCTCTTATTTTCAAATAATTTTTCCGGCGTAAGATAAGTTATTGTCAATTGTTGCGTTACTATCTTTAGAATTAATAATTGCCCCAACTAAATTAGAAAATTCGTCGCGTGGCTTTCGATTTATGCAAATGCCTGCCTTGTGGTTGCTGGTTTCGTACTGAATGATTATTTGACCTCTATCGGCCATTTTGAGTTTCGAAATTTGCATGCTTTGATTTGATTGGCTAATACTCGCTCGTTTGCGATATTATTCAAGTTTGTCTGATCCATCGGATAAATTATTGATATTAAATTCGAGGGCACTACGAATTGATGTTTTTTTCATAACCGTTAACGTGCTAGGGTAGATCGAAAATGGGTTCGCTTCCATTAGGTTTCGGGAGAAATAATCGGCTAATCCGATATTAGTCTCTGGCTTATGCTCCACCTCGAAGTCGAATGGTATGAGACGATCGAGTTATCTTGTTAGCCAGCTCAACATTGTTTTATTTTTTTTCTGTTGCCGTTTAATAATAAAACAAGGGCTTTGTGATCAGTTATGACATGGAATTGCCTGCACAGTACGTAGTTGTGAAAATACTCTCCCCCCCCCCCCACACACACAACCGCTAGCATTTCTAGCTCGTTGGTCGAGTAATTCTTCTGGGTGTCGTTGAGATAGTGTGAGGCGAACGATATCGGCCGCCAACCCTCGTAACCGAGCTGTTCTAGGACTGCTCCTGGGCCATTGTCTTGCGTCGTACCTTATTCTTATGGACATCGAAATTTTTGAGTTCCACTATGTTAGCCACTTGGCTTTTTAAATTCTCAAATGCGGCATGGCTTTCTTCTATCCACCGGAATTCGTTTCTCTTGCATAGTAGCGGTCCTAACGGTGCTGATGGTTCAGCTAGTGCCGGAAGGTTTTAGTGCAAACTATTTATTGACCTCATAAAGGATTTCAGTTCCGCGTGTTCGGGGTGGTCTTA